TATTCCACCAAACGCCTCATTCTTTGCTACTTTCTTTCTTTTTTTTAATCTGAAGTTCTGTTAAGCAATTGGTGAATCTGCAAAGTACCTGCTAGGCTAACCTGACTATTCTCTGGACAAAGGCCAGCTCCCCCGGCCTGAAAGCGAGATGAGCGCCGCTCCCCAAAGTCGCCTTTGGACTTAACCGCCCAGGGGTCCGTTACTTAAAAAAAATAGTGTTAGAAATTAGCCAGGTGCCAGGCGCATTTTGCTGCTGGCACAGGTCCAACTGTGACTACATGGAGATTTATGGGCTCTGGGGAAGCCCCTTGAAGTTGTTTTTAGGGCATTGGGTGGGTCCTCCAACTACACAGAACAAAACACAAAATAAAATAATTCCATTAAGACGTTAAAAGAAGCATCCATACTTAGAATGTATGGGAAACAAAACAATCCCATTAAAACAGCACAGCAGGAACAGGCAGGAAACAATTTGTGGTAATACGATCATTATACTGGCTAAGAGGAGGACCCTTTTCTCTCTCTTTTAAAGAGTTCACTGTCCTTTGAAGACGTCGCTGTTCCTTTCCCAGGTGAAGAGTGGGTGTTGCTGGGTCCTGACCAGAGAGCTCTGCATCAAGGAGAATTGTGGGATCATGAACTCTCCCGGTAAGGCTCCCTGTTGGATCTTAATATCCCAGATTTTGATGGTTCTGAACAACGCCACTTACAGCATCTGGGATTCTCACACCCCACAGCTCACCTTGAAGGGAGGATTATCCAGCTGTATACCAGTGCTTGGAATGTGGAAAGAGCTTCAAGGAAAGGGCCAAGCTCACTTCCCATCAAATAATTCACACAGGGGAGAATCCTTATCATTGCTTGGAATGTGAAAGGAGTTTTAGTCAGGACTCCCATCTTATTTCCCATCAAATAATTCATACAATGGAGAGACCATATAAATGCTTGGAATGCGGAGAGTGTTTTAGTCAGGAGTCCTTTCTCACGTCTCATCAAAGAACTCACAGCAGGGAGAATCACAGTCTCCCAGAATCATTGAATTGTTGCATTGGATTGGATGGTGAGAGTCATCTTCTCCAAGTCTCTGCAATGCAGGATATTCAGCAAAAGAATTCATGACAGATGGCCACCCAACCTTTGCTTAAAAACCTTCCAATTCAGGAGTATCCCACACCACCTGAACTACTTTGTTTCACAGTCAAACAGTTCTTGCTGCTAGAAAGTTCTTCCTGATGTTTAGTCAGAATCTCCTTCCTCCCATCTGAAATCCATTGGTTTGGGTCCTCCTTCCACCAGAGTAGGAGAAACCAAGTTTGCTCCATCTTCCACGGCACGGCCCTTCGCATATTGAAAGATGTGAAGCAGTGCCTGGTCCCCCAGTGAGCATCATGGCTAAGGAGGGACTTGAACCCAGGTCTGCCAAGTCGTATTCTGACACTCTAACCACTATACCACACTAGCTCTGCCAGGAGACTCTTGGAAAGTGTGCATGCATGTGCGTCTCTTTAAGTTTAGGCACAGTGTTCTGGTGCTTGTATTTAAAGTTGTGTACACATGGGATCAAAATAATAATAGTGCATTTAAATTACTGTTAGCTAAGGAGGCAGAAAGGGTGAGTTTCGGGGTGCTGTAGCTGAGAATTGGGAATCACGCTTGTGTAACAACAGCATAAAAACCAGAGCTTTGCTTAATTAAACCTATGTCTTTTCTAATTAAATCTATGTTCTTTCAAATGTGTTTGTGGGAAGGGGTTATTCTTTCTTTTATTACATATTTTGTGTTTTTATTTTGCATCTTTATGTTGTGAAACACTCAGATCTTCGGATAAAAGACGTCTTAAAAGTTAAAGGTACCCCTGCCCGTACGGGCCAGTCTTGCCAGACTCTGGGGTTGTGCACTCATCTCACTCTAGAGGCCGGGAGCCAGCGCTGTCCGCAGACACTTCCGGGTCACGTGGCCAGCGTGACGAAGCTGCTCTGGCGAACCGGCACCAGCGCAGCACACGGAACGCCGTTTACCTTCCCGCTGGTAAGCGGTCCCTATTTATCTACTTGCACCCGGGGGTGCTTTTGAACTGCTAGGTTGGCAGGCGCTGGGACCGAGCGACGGGAGCGCACCCCACCGCGGGGATTCGAACCGCCGACCTTTCGATCGGCAAGTCCTAGGCGCTGAGGTTTTACCCACAGCATCTTACAAATGTAATAAATTAAATAAATAGCAGAGTACTCATAAGCAATAAATAAAACATTAAAATACACAACCACACTGAAGAATAGCCACATGAATCATGAGAAGATCTAAAATAAAGATAGAAAAACCCGTAGCAACAACAAGCCTGCTAAGCCCAAGAGTTTGTTCAGCGGCCCCAGCTTTTGTAGCTGGAGTCAGTCTGGACTCTCCCAGGCCACATGGGAAAAGGCCTGCAAGGCAGGAGAAGGTCTTAGAGGACTCACAGCCAGGATGGTCTCTGTCCTCTTCCACGGTCTCAGCTTTTGTAGCTGGAGTCCATCTGCTTATCATAACCTTGGATCTGGCCCCCTCAGGCCGGTGGAGAAAGCCTGCAAGGAAACAGTTGGAGGTTGAACTCAGTAGTATAGGAACATCCTTGTAATACCTATTGTTACAGTAGTACTAAAGTAATGAAGAATGAACAGAAAAAACTGGAAGATTTGAAACCATACACTTAATGTTAGGGTTGCCTTATTTCAAATAGTAAAAAACCAGGACACCCCGAAAGCTGTTGAGCATTTTTTTAGGAAGACCCCAACACTATTGTGCTTTTTTTAGGAACCCCCCCAAATTTTATGACAATGCCAAAATAATCTGATTTTTTTATTGATTTACCTAAGATCCAAGAAAATCTGGACTTATGGCAGCCCTAACTTATCTACACCAAGTTATCTTGAAATTAGTGTTTGTTTTTAATAAATCAGTTGTACTCCACCTCACACCTCATTCTTCGCAACGTTGGGGGTGAAGTGCTCAGGTCAGAGTTCTGGGGTGGCAGTGGGAATAAGGGGGTGTTTGCTGAAAGGCCCATCTGTGCCCCTTGAATGCAGAGGGAAGAGGGAGCAGGAGGGGGTGGGCGCAACATGGGGGGAAAACAGCCTCCGCATGGCGCATTCTGAAGCGTTTTTCAAAGTGCTTTTATAACATTCCTATAAGGTAGACCAGTAGCATATGCACAGCTTTCCTTAAACTTCAGTTGCTCAAATGAGCTGTTACACTTCAGGTAAACAGATGCTCCTGTTTCTAGACAAGGTGGGAAAATGCTCAGCTCGGTTTCTGTTACTTTTCCCTCTCGCTCCTTTCCTTAGTTATGGAGGTGTAGCAGTTCAATCCTTTTAACCAGACCAGGTTCCTTCACAGCCTAATACTTTCCCTCAGTCTCCCTCTCTCCTCTCAGCAATGCCCCTCCTGAGGCGTTTTCTTTTGGGCGCCAGACCCAGGGGATCCCTCGGCCCTCTTCTTTCCCCCCAGACTCAGCCCCTCTTCCTCTCTCCTTCTCCTCCTCAGGCCAGAGCCACTTCTCCCTCAGACTCAGCCCCTCTTCCCCTCTCCTTCTTCTCCTCAGGCCAGAGCCACTTCTCCCTCAGACTCAGCCCCTCTGGCTCTCTCCTTCTTCTCCTCAGGCCAGAGCCACTTCTCCCTCAGACTCAGCCCCTCTGGCTCTCTCCTTCTTCTCCTCAGGCCAGAGCCACTTCTCCCTCAGACTCAGCCCCTCTTCCTCTCTCCTTCTTCTCCTCAGGCCAGAGCCACTTCTCCCCCCGACTCAGCCCCTCTTCCTCTCTCCTTCTTCTCCTCAGGCCAGAGCCACTTCTCCCCCCGACTCAGCCCCTCTTCCCCTCTCCTTCTTCTCCTCAGGCCAGAGCCACTTCTCCCCCCGACTCAGCCCCTCTTCCCCTCTCCTTCTTCTCCTCAGGCCAGAGCCACTTCTCCCCCCGACTCAGCCCCTCTTCCTCTCTCCTTCTTCTCCTCAGGCCAGAGCCACTTCTCCCCCCGACTCAGCCCCTCTTCCTCTCCCCTTCTTCTCCTCAGGCCAGAGCCACTTCTCCCTCAGACTCAGCCCCTCTTCCTCTCTCCTTCTTCTCCTCAGGCCAGAGCCACTTCTCCCTCAGACTCAGCCCCTCTTCCCCTCTCCTTCTTCTCCTCAGGCCAGAGCCACTTCTCCCCCAGACTCAGCCCCTCTTCCCCTCTCCTTCTTCTCCTCAGGCCAGAGCCACTTCTCCCTCAGACTCAGCCCCTCTTCCTCTCTCCTTCTTCTCCTCAGGCCAGAGCCACTTCTCCCCCAGACTCAGCCCCTCTTCCTCTCTCCTTCTTCTCCTCAGGCCAGAGCCACTTCTCCCTCAGACTCACCCCTCTTCCTCTCTCCTTCTTCTCCTCACGCCAGAGCCACTTCTCCCTCAGACTCAGCCCCTCTTCCTCTCTCCTTCTTCTCCTCAGGCCAGAGCCACTTCTCCCTCAGACTCAGCCCCTCTTCCCCTCTCCTTCTTCTCCTCAGGCCAGAGCCACTTCTCCCTCAGACTCAGCCCCTCTTCCTCTCCTTCTCCTCAGGCCAGAGCCACTTCTCCCTCAGACTCAGCCCCTCTTCCTCTCTCCTTCTTCTCCTCAGGCCAGAGCCACTTCTCCCCCCGACTCAGCCCCTCTTCCTCTCTCCTTCTTCTCCTCAGGCCAGAGCCACTTCTCCCTCAGACTCAGCCCCTCTTCCTCTCTCCTTCTTCTCCTCAGGCCAGAGCCACTTCTCCCTCAGACTCAGCCCCTCTTCCCCTCTCCTTCTTCTCCTCAGGCCAGAGCCACTTCTCCCTCAGACTCAGCCCCTCTTCCCCTCTCCTTCTTCTCCTCAGGCCAGAGCCACTTCTCCCTCAGACTCAGCCCCTCTTCCTCTCTCCTTCTTCTCCTCAGGCCAGAGCCACTTCTCCCTCAGACTCAGCCCCTCTTCCTCTCTCCTTCTTCTCCTCAGGCCAGAGCCACTTCTCCCTCAGACTCAGTCTCTCCTCCTCCTCCCTTCCTCCCATCTCAGCTCCAGCCTCAAAACTTCCTCAGAAAAGGCGCCTCTCATCTTCCCGCCAAAAGGGCTGGCTCCGCCCCCGCCTCTCTGGGTAGCCAATCAGAGAGAGCAGTTCCAGCCCCCTGGTGGCGTTTCTGAGGGACTGCAGCTCCAGACTCGCCCGGGCTCAGCTCTGTCTCTCTCTCTCTCCCCCCCGCCCCCCTTAGCATTGCCTCCTTGCTCCTTTCTGGATCTGTGCCTTGCAGGTGGGGCTGCTCTGAGGGGGGCTGAGCTCTGTCTCCCCTCGAGCCGGAAAGGCGCCTGGGACTCATTGCTGGGGGAGAAGGAAGAGAAGAGGAGAGAAATGAGGAAATGGCTCGTAAAATGCTGCCGCGAGATTTGTTCCAACGAGATGTCATGTGGGTCTTTTAGCAGGGTTAGGAGGAACTGAGCTGGATTCCTAGAGAGGACCAGGAAGGAAGGCGGGGGCGGGTCCTCCAGAGTCCAGCCCCTTCCTGTCAGAGGAGGCAGCTCTTGTCTCCTCGCAGGCGCCTTCGGCATCGAGTGAGTCTCTCTCTCTTCTCGCTTAGGGGGCGTTGGGGGGAGGGGGAAGGGGGACCCCCCAAATCAGGGAGCAGAGGGTCCTCTCGGCACAGGATCCAGGGGGTGGGGAGGGAACCAGGAGAGTCCTCCAGGCCAAAGATGAGCAGTGCAGGCATCTCCACTCAAAGGCTGGTCAGGATACGGAGGAGCCAGACCCATGGCTGCCTTTTGGAGCCCATGGGGGGAAAGGTGGATAGAAATGCCAGGAGGGAAGCCAGCCCCTAACTTGGTCCCTGCTTTCCAAGTCATCTTCCAAGTCATCTTCAAGCGCAGCTCCAGATCGAGGGCATGGCAAATATCCCCCCAGAAGCAGAGCATGGAGTCCCCTGGCCACAAAGGGACTGCGGCTGGCACACGAGTGGGATGTTGAAGCGGACACTCAAGGGACTAGGTTGGATCCAGAAGTACCCCACCCAGATGTGGGGGTTCGGCTGTGTCACATTCTTAATTACACAGCCACCCTCCTGAATTCCCAGGGCAAATTCCCAGATTAAAACACAACCTTGAAAACAGTTGCAATCACAGAAAGAAGGTAGATCCTACTTTACCTGCTTTTGAGTTCTGTCCTTTGGCCTCACCCACTTGGCCCTCAGGGCGTTTCCCAGATGAGGATCTGGCCCTCAGAACAAGGGAAAAAGAACCCCATCTCAGTAGTTTGTCTTGAGGAGGTGGGAACTCCTCGCTATAGCCTGGTTTCCACGTTACACTTGGTATGAATGACTCACTTGTCACTCACCGTTCTGACTTTATTCCTTGACTGCAAACACTGGCAGGCAGGATCAACCAGGCTGATTCATTTCACAGAAATCCCTTCACTTTCCTGCACATCTGGGACGGTCACTTTCCTTCTAGGAGGGCAAGAGCATTACTTCTCCTTTTCTTTCGTAAGCAAAGCTCAAAGTCTGGCCAGTGGTTCAGTCCAGCCTTGGTTCCTACGAGACTCATCCTCGCTTGCTCAGGGAACATTTTTCTCCTCTTGTCCGTGTTGTGATTTTATAAAAGAACAATGCTTTTTCTTTCTTGGATTTTCTAGCGCCTCTAATTTGGACGGACAAAACTTGGCAGAGGACCAAGGGGATCCTTCCTGTCTCTTGGAGGCTTCCTTAGAACACACATGGATGAGCAAGACTCAGCTGGCCCTGAAGCAGGAAGAGGCCCGGCCATGGAAACGGGAAGCAGTGCAGGATTCTGGGAAGGCTCTGGGCAGAAGATCCTGGGAGAGGAACACACCCTCCGCTCAGAGGTGCAGAGCCAGCAGTTCAGCTGGTTCTGTTACCAGGAGGCCGAAGGACCCCGTGAGGTTTGCAGCCAACTCTACCACCTTTGCCACCAGTGGCTGAAGCCAGAAAGGCACACGAAAGCTGAGATGCTGGACCTGGTGATCTTGGAGCAGTTCCTGGCTGTCCTTCCAGCGGAGATGGAGAGCTGGGTGAGGGAATGCGGAGCAGAGACCAGTTCCCAGGCAGTGGCCCTGGCCGAAGGTTTCCTCCTGAGTCAGGTGGAGGAGAGGAATCAGGCGGAGAAGAAGCAGGTGAGAGAGACTTTCCTCTGGATGCTCCCAAGGGGCTCCAAGGAGGGAGAAGATATCCCTAAATCCCATCCTTTTTTTAGAATGAGATTGGATACCCCTCAGGTTTTTGTCCCAGCCATTCCTTCTCAAACCCATCTCCACATTCTCTATTACAAATTCTTGTTGCTCTTTCAGGAAAGGGATCTGTCTTCAGAAACGGGTCCTGATTCCTCTGAGGCAGAGAGGACTTCGTTGGACACCAGAGAGAGGCTGCTGGGTAAGGAGGAAGGAGTTTTCCCTCTGTGTGGTCACATTCTGGAGATTCTCAAACTACTCTGTGGGTTCTTTCAGTGTTTTGGGGAAGCCACTTGGGGCCCAGAGGCCAAAGGAGAGGAGATATATTTCAGCATCACTAAAATATGAAATGGGTACAAAGGCCAGAATGCACCTCGAGAGAAGCATCCTGCACTCCTGTCTCCCCACTTCCCTTTGTCTCTCGCAGGTGAAAGAAGGATGCCGGCAAGACCTCCTCCTCCATCTCTTCATCCTGGTGGAGGGGAAGCAGCGGCTGAGGAACCGGATCAGGTAGGGGGAAGGAGCCGGGGGGAGGAAGGATGAGGTGTGGGGCAGCCAGGGCGTTTCTGGGGGCAAATGAACCCCCTCTTGACTTCTGTCAAAGCTGCCCTTAACAAAGGCTGAAAATGCAATTAATGAAGGTTTATGCACTGAGGATAAAGAGTAACCCCTTCACCTTAACTCTGAATGTCACTAGTATTATTCATTATAAATTGTCTTTGGGACATCTGGGGAGTCTTTCCATCCCAGAACAACACACAGGGAGAGGAGAGAGGGATTCTTCCATTTGGCAAACTGGAATGCTTGCATAGACATATTGATCTGAATAAAACAAGGTGGAGTTCCACCCATTTTCACTAAGAGTCATACCTATCATTAAAATACGCTATCAAAGAACTCCATTAAAGCATTAAAATAAGCATCAATAATCAAAATGTGCAGCAGACCAATCTAATTAAAACAATCCAGGCAGGAAGCAAAAGAATAATATTTATGCTGCCTAAGAGAAGGATATTCTTCTTTCAGAGCTCAGTTTCTTTTGAAGATGTCACTGTTTGTTTCACGGCTGAGGAGTGGGCGTTGCTGGATCCTGCCCAGAGAGCTCTGCATAAGGAGGTTACAGAGGAGAATCGTGGTATCCTGGCCTCTCTCAGTAAGGCTCCTAGTTGCATCATGAGATCTGTTTTGCAATTCCATACATATATCTCTATTGTGAGGGAGCTCAATAGCGCTGCCTTCAGCAGCTGGGCTTCCAACACCTCCACAAGTCACCTTGATTGGAGGACTGTTTGGTCTGGGAATGTTCTTCCTCCAATTACGCCTTTCTAAACAGAGATCTTAATTGTCAGGGGTCCCTTTACCTTAAACAGAGATCAGGCTGGTCTGAACTTCCCAAACCCTGAAATGAGGCTTCATTCTTATAAAAGGTAAAGGGAGCCTTTTTTACTTGCCAATCAGCTTTTGTTGGTATTGCTTTTTCTTTCCATCTTTGGGCGTATACCATTCAGGCAGCTGTGGTAGCATACATATACAGGTTTTTTCCTGATATTTGGGTACCTTCCTCCCATTATACCTGAAAGGGAAGCTTCCGGTTTTTTAACAAAGATTATTTTCAGCATTTTTTTCAACTCATTATGAATCATTTCCCCGAAGACTTTTACTATCTTACATGAACACAACATGTGAAAAAGGTACCTTCCTTCCCTTGACATTCCCAGCAGGCATTTGATTTGGTCTTGTACATTTTAGCTAAGTTACTAGGAATCAAATGCCATCTATACATCATTTTCCTATAGTGTTCTTTGAACTCATAACATGCTGTAAATTTCAATTCTCCATTCCACAATCTGTCCCAAGCTGCCATTTCAATGTTATATCATATATCCATTGCTCAATGTATCATCAGAATTTGACCTGTTTGTCTTTCTGGGTCACCTTCAATGGTAGCCCCACATAGAGCGCATGGCAGTAGTCTAAGCGAGAGATAACGAGAGCATGCACTGCTTTGGTGAGAATATCAGCGGGCAGGTAGGGTCTCAGCCTGCGTGCCAGATGGAGCTGATAAACAGCTGCCCTGGACACAGAACTGACCTGCACCTCCATGGAAAGCTGAGAGTCCAAAATGACTCCCAGGCTGCACATCTGGTCCTTCAGGGGCACAGTTACCCCATTCAGGACCAGGGAGTCCACACCAGCCTGCCTCCTGTCCCCCAACAGTACTTCTGTCTTGTCAGAATTCAACCTCAATCAGTTAGCCGCCATCCATCCTCCAACCACCTCCAGAGACACTCATACAGGACCTTCATCGCCTTCACTGGTTCCGATTTGAAAGAGAGGTAGAGCTGGGTATCATCTGCGTACTGATGAACACCCAGCCCAAACCCCCTGATGATCTCTCCCATCGGCTGCATGTAGATGTTGAAAATCCATATCTCTCTTTGTTGCAGGTGGTGATGAATTAGAAATTAAGAATCAGCGAATCCATGACAAAATCCACACAGTGGAGAACCCCTATCAATATGTGGAGTATGGAGAGAGCTCTCATTCCTTATCCCACCCAAGAATTCCCACTGGGAAGAAGATGCATCGGTGCTTGGAATGTGGGAAGAGCTTCAGTCGCAGCTCTTATCTCACGGTCCATCAAAGATTTCATAAAGGAGAGAAACCTTATCAGTGCTTGGAATGTGGGAAGAGCTTCAGTACAAAGGCCAATGTCACTTCCCATCAAAGAATTCATGCAAGGGAGAAACCCTACCAGTGCCTGCACTGTGGGAAGAGCTTCAATCGGAATATTGATCTCACTTCCCATCAAAGAATTCATACAGGGGAGAAACCATATCAGTGTTTGGAATGTGGAAAGCGCTTCAGTCAGAGGTCCCATCTGACTACCCATCAAATAATTCATACAGGGGAGAAACCGTTTCAGTGCTTGGAATGTGGGAAGAGCTTCAGTTCAAAGGCCTATGTCACTTCCCATCAAAAAATCCATACAAGGCAGAAACCCTATCAGTGTTTGGAATGTGGAAAGAGCTTCAATCGGAATATTGATCTCACTTCCCATCAAAGAATTCATACAGGGGAGAAACCTTATCAGTGTTTGGAATGTGGAGAGAGCTTCAGTTGGAAGATATATTTGTCTTACCATCAAATAATTCATAGAGGGAAGAAACCCTAATAATGCTTGGAATGTGGAAAGATCTTCACCCACAAGAAAAGTCTCACTTCCCACCAAATAATTCATACAGGGCAGAAACTACATCAGTCCTTAGAATGCACATTGGGCCTTCCTGCAAGAAGAGCGCTTCTGTGACATCAGAGAATTCACAGTGGGGGAAAACCATTTCAGTGCCAAGTGCGGAAAGAGCTTCACCCTGAAGCAAACACTCACTTCCCATCAAAGAATTCATACGACAGAGAAACCCTAATAGTGCTTGAAATGTGGAAAGAGCTTCATCTTGATTGAAAGTTTCACTTCCCATCAAATAACTTGCAGTGGGGAATATAATAGAATTATCATCATCGTCAATCTTTATTACGGTCCAGAGACCCAACAAATTGTTACAAAGCAATACACAATTCATACAGCCTACCTCCAGGTTAAACAAGCATTTTGTTCAGAATATACTGATCATTTGTTCTTGCAACCACCGATAAAAACTTTGCCACTGCTAATGTTCTAGCATTTGTGCGGTCTTCCAATAGGAACCTGACATAGTGAGCCTCTGGTTTTCCCGGGAAAGGCACCAGCAAGGGTAGTATCAGTTCAGCCCTGGCTTGCTCATATTTTGCACAATGCAAGAAAATATGTTTTATGCAATCGATGTCTTGAGCACACGAGCAAAGTCTGCCCTAGTAGGGAACTCCTCGCAACCCACCATCCAACACTGCAGAAGGAAAGACGTTTAGAATTATAAGACTGTAGTGTTGGAAGGGACGCCGAGGGTCATTGCTAGGGAGGGGGAGGGGCCAGTTTGGAATGCTGGGGGTGAGAGGTGATTGGCGGGGAATTCGAAAGGATGGCCTTAGACTGATTTAATATCCAATGTAATATTAAATGCAATTATAGGAGTGAATTATTGGTTTGCTTCATTTTTTCTGGTTTCTATTCTTTATTCTGTGTTTTATTTTGCATTTTAATGCTGGAAACCGTCCTGAGATTTTCGGTTGAGGGCGATATACCAGTTTAATAGATCGTATCTAAGAAAGTGGCCGTATACAAGAAATGAAACATCAAAAAATACACAACCAAGCCCAGCAATTTCCACACAAATCACAGCAACGACTTAAACAGATCCAAACAACCCCAGCTGCACATCCCTGTGGTCAGATGAGAAAAGGCCTGCAAGGCAGGGAGCAGGTCTTCCGGGACTCAAAGCAGCCAAGGAGAGACCCTTCAGGAGAGACCCTTGGAGGTGGAGAGCGAGAGGGAATGGTCAGCCAGGGTTGGTTGGATCAGGAGGAGAGGAGCAGCCTAAGAATGCCCATTGTTACAGTAGTAATAAAGGAACGGAAAAAGGAACAGGAACACTTGAAATGATATGTGCACAAACTTAGCCTGAACCTGTTTATTTTCTAATAAATTGATTGTATTCCACCAAACGCCTCATTCTTTGCTACTTTCTTTCTTTTTTTTAATCTGAAGTTCTGTTAAGCAATTGGTGAATCTGCAAAGTAACTGCTTAGGGTAACCTGACTATTCTCTGGACAAAGGCCAGCTCCCCCGGCCTGAAAGCGAGATGAGCGCCGCTCCCCAAAGTCGCCTTTGGACTTAACCGCCCAGGGGTCCGTTACTTAAAAAAAATAGTGTTAGAAATTAGCCAGGTGCCAGGCGCATTTTGCTGCTGGCACAGGTCCAACTGTGACTACATGGAGATTTCTGGGCTCTGCCTTAGTCCATAGTTAATACAATTTCCATTTCCACTGTGTGTGTTTCTCCTTCTTGCATACTGGGAGCAATGAACTGTTGTAAGAGCAAACTAAAGTCCAGCAACGCAGCTGAGATAATAGAATCGTAGAATTGAAGCGTTGGAAGGGACCCCGTTATGGTGACCAACTCAGGCTGAAAGTGCCCCTTGGCACCCAGCTGATATCTCTGAGTTTCTTACGCTGCTCTGCATGGCACATCATGAAGCATTAAAAGCGCTTCATGGAAACTAACCCAGCTGTCCTTAACACCTCATAATATGAACAAGGCTACAAAGACCACTGGAAGGGCACCTGCTTGGCATGTGGAAGGGTCCAGGCTTAACACCCCCCCATCTGGCCCCCTGGAGGGTCAAGGCTGCCAGTCAGTGCTGGCAACCCATAGCAGCAGCTTCTTCCTCTTGTCTCCTGCTTCCCTCCTGAGCATAAATGAGCACCCTCTGACTCAGCAGCAGCACCCCATCCTCCATCTCCTGCTGCAGGTTGCATGCCCCCTCCCACTTGCATGCCCCCCCCTCAAATATATAAGGGGGTCGGCACATGGGGGAAAGATTCCTGCACTGCAGAGGTCGGACTCCTTTCTTGTAACTTGAATCCACTGGTTCTGGTCCTCCCCTCCAGAGCAGGAAAAGAACACAGGCTTGCACCATCTTTCATGGAACAGCCCTTAAGATATCTGAAGATGGCTCTCCTCTCTCCTCTCAGTCTCCTCTTTTCCAGGCTAAAGATACCCTGGTCCTTCAACCATTCCTCATCAGGCTTGGTTTCCAGACCCTTCATCATCTTGGCTGCCCTCCTCTGCACACCTTCCAGCCGGTCAACATCCTTCTTAAATTGCTTTGCCCAGAACTGGACACAGTATTCCAGGTGTGGTCTGACCAAGTCATAATGGTGCAGTACTATGTCTTCCCTTGATCTGGACACTGGACTTCTGTGGACGCTGCCTAGAATAGCATTCGCTTCTTCTCAGCTGCATCACACTGTGAACTCAGGTGGAGCTTGGGGTCCACCAAGACCCCTAGATCTTTTTCACATGCACTGCTATGTCCCCCATCCTATAGTTCTGCATCTGGTTCTTCCTGCCTAAGTGCAGAATCTGACCTTTGTCCCTATGGAAATTCATTTTGTCAGCTTGCCCCCAGTTCTCCAATCTGTAAATGGTAATCTTGAATCCCGATTCTGTACTTTGTGCCTTCCCTCCCAGTTTGGTGTTATCTGCAAACTGGATGAGCATCCCCTCAATTCCTCCATCAAAGATTGACAGATGGAGCCACAACAGGCCCCGGACAGAGCCCTGAAGCCCCCCTGATCACCAATCTATGGCGTAACCTCATGGGGGGCGCAGTCGCCTCTCCTCATGAAGGAAGTTTGAGGAGTTGGAAAAGGTTCACAAAAGTGCTGCCAAAATGATCAAGGCAGACTTTGCTATGAAGAAAGGTTGCAGCCTTTGGGGCTTTTAGTTTAGACTTTAGGGCAGTGGTTCCCAATTAGCTAATTACTGAGCCCCCGACCCCCAAATTTTCAAAAAGCCAAGCCTGGCCTAGAGAAAGTGGGTGGAGAGTTGCATCTCCTGACAGTGGAACTCAAAGACATCCAAGGAGTCGGAAGATTCAGGACAGATAACATTAAGCTCTTCTTCACGCAAGGCAGAGTTCACCTGCGGAACTCCCCGGCACTGGACACCAGAGGGAGAGGGAGAACTGGCTTGCCAAGGGTTAAAAGGGATTGAGCGGGATTCCTAGAGGGGAGAGAAAATAAAGGCGTTGGGGGGGGTGTTGGGGGGGAGAAACTCCCCAGCCCAAGCCCCTCCCTCTCCGCCCTGCCTCAAAAGGAGGAGGGGCCTTTGTCTCTCTCTTCTGCACGTGCTGCCTCCAGGGCGCCTCCGGGGAGCCGGTGAGTCTCTGCATTGGGGAGAAGAGGGGGGTCCCCGGGATGCAGGGGGGAGCGGGGGGACCCCCAAGTCAAGGGGCAGGGGCTCCTGCCCCACCTCTCTGCAAAGCCCGGGTGGGGGCGAGGGCACAGGAGCTCTGCAAGTATTATCTTCCTTTCGATCCCTTCGTAGAGGGAAGAAAAGGGCCTGCAAAGAAGCCCCCTTCAGACCCAGGAATCAAGACGTCGTAGTGGGAAAGAAAGATCTGTACGGAAAATAGATGCAAATAATAATAGGGGAGCGTGAGCCATGCAATCAATTGAGACTGTTGGAAGAGGGGCAGAGAAGAGAAAGCGCTTCTTGGTGCCGTGCAGAATCAAGCCTGTGGAACTCCCTGCCCCAGGAGGCCAGGCTGGGACCAGGGCAGGGAGGAGGAGGAGAGGCTCCGGGTGGCTTCATGCAGGAGGGCTGAGCTCTCGTCTCCCCAGAGATGCTGCTGAATCCCAGTTGCTGGAAGGAAGCGCAGGGGGAGAGGGGGGGGCTCTTGCGCCCCAGTCCGGCTGGGGGGCTTCCCATTGAGGCCCCTGGGTGGCCCCTGTGAGAATCATAGGGACATGGAATCGTAGAGCTGGAAGGGAGCCCAAGGGTCATCTAGTCCAGTGCAGGGAGGAGGAGAAGCTCCTGGTGCCCATCGGGCTGATTCATCTCACAGAAACCGCTTCCGTTTCCTCCACTTTTGGCCTGGTCACTTTCCCCCTAGGAGGGCGAGAGAATTTCTTCTTCTACATTCTTCCCTTTTTTCTTACAGAAAGCTCAAAGTCTGGCCCAGGGTGCAGTCCAGCCCTGGTTCCTAGCAAGACTCATCCACACTTGCTCAGAGAACCTTTCTATTCTCCTGACCGTGTGCCAATTTCATAACAGAACAAAATATTTCCTTTGCAGTATTTGGCAGCACCTCTAAATCAGACAGGCAGAACTTGGCCAAGGAAAAACTGGATTCCCTCCTAAAGATGGATGAGCAAGACTCAGCTGGCCCTGGAGCAGGAAGAGGCCATGCTATGGAAACTGGGAGCAGTGGGGGATTATGGGAAAACTCAGTGCAGAAGCTCCTGGGAGAGGAGGACACCCTTTGCTCAGAGGCGCAGAGCCGGCAGTTCAGGTGGTTCTTCTCCCAGGAGGCCAAAGGACCCCGTGAGGTTTGCAGCCGACTCCACCACCTTTGCCACCAGTGGCTGAAGCCAGAAAGGCACATGAAAGCTGAGATGCTGGACCTGGTGATCTTGGAGCAGTTCCTGGCTGTCCTTCCAGCGGAGATGGAGAGCTGGGTGAGGGAATGCGGAGCGGAGACCAGTTCCCTGGCAGTGGCCCTGGCCGAAGGTTTCCTCCTGAGTCAGGCAGAGGAGAGGAAGCAGGTGAGAGAGACTTTCCTCTGGATGCTCCCAAGGGGCTCCAAGGAGGGAGAAGATCCCTAAATCCCATCCTTTTTCGGAAGGCTACCAGATGCTGCTAAAATTTTTGCCTCTGCCATTCCTATTCTGATTCTTTTCCCCATCTCTGTTTTGAATCCTTGTTGCTGTTTCAGGGAAAGGATCCGTTTGCTGAAATGGGTCCTGATTTCTCTGAAGTAGAGAAGTCTCTGTTGGACACCAGAGATAAGCCACTGGGTAAGAAGGAAGGAGTATTTTCTCAGTTTGGTCCCATTCTGTTGGTGTTGAAAATAATCTGGTGGTTCTTTTGATCTTTTTGGGGAAGACACTTGAGGCCCTGAGCCCAGAGGAGCCTGATATATAATTTTGCACAATTAAATATGAAATAGGTACAGGGGAGTATTTCTTAATCTGTAGTTAGAGATGCACTGCTTCAGCTCTGAGAGAAGCATCCTGCACTCCTGTCTCCCCACTTCCCTTTGTCTCTCGCAGGTGAAAGAAGGATGCCGGCAAGACCTCCTCCTCCATCTCTTCATCCTGGTGGAGGGGAAGCAGCGGCTGAGGAACCGGATCAGGTGCGGGGAAGGAGCCATGGGGGGAAAGGGGCTGAGGGTGAGGGACAGAGGGCATTTCTGAGACGGAACAAATCTCTCCCCTCCTCATTGCTTCTGTCAAAGCTGCCCTTAACAAAGGCTGAAAATGCCATTAATGAAGGTTTATGCTCCGAGTAGCCCCTTCACCTTAACTCTGAATGTCGCTAGTATTATTCGTTATAAATTCTCTTTGAGACATCTGGGGAGTCTTTCCATCCCAGAACAACACACAGGGAGAGGAGAGAGGGATTCTTCCATTTGGCAAACTGGAATGCTTGCATAGACATATTGATCTGAATAAAACAACATGGAGTTCATTAAAATAAGCACCAGTAATCCAAATGTGCAACAGACCAATCCAATTAAAACAACCCAGGCAGGAAGCAAAAGAGCAACGTGCAGGAAATAATCTTTATGCTGCCTAAGAGAAGGATATTTTATTTCAGAGCTCAGTTTCTTTTGAAGATGTCGCTGTTTGTTTCACGGCTGAGGAGTGGGCGTTGCTGGATCCTGCCCAGAGAGCTCTGCATAAGGAAGTCATGGAGGAGACTTGGAGGACCATGATCTCTCTGGGTAAAGTTCCCTGTTGGGTCATCATCTCTGTTTTGGAATTCAGTAGATATTTCTCTGGGACAAACCTCCCATATTTGGATGGATCCCAACGTTGCCACTTAGAGTGCCAGGGATTCTCTTTTTTTTAAAAAAAATGAATATTTATTAGCATTTTCAAAAAAAGGAAAAAACATACAAAAACAAAAATACAAAAATACAAAAAACCAAAACTTAAAAACAATTAAAAACACCTGAAAGTTCAAATACTTATTTTCTTTTAACTTGTTTCTCAGACCTCCTCACGCCTCCCTTTGTTGTATTCCAATTTAAATTATTAGCTCAGCAAATCCTTGACTTACTTCTCCATTTTAACTTAATTTAATTTATTCTAACGTGTTATTATTTTACTTTTCTTCTTTCTTCCATTTCCTCAATTTATATTTACAAACCTTAATTTCATTTAATTTAGACCATTTTAAAAACCAATTTTAACTTCTCCAAATTTACACATCAATATTTATACCTCATTATTTTTTCTTAAACATTTTTGCTAAAGTTGACCAAAATTTCCCTTCCACGACTTTCCCAATTTCCATACTAATAGCAAAGCAAAGTTAAAACAAAACAAACTATATTTATATACCCTTTGGATTCCCAAACTCCACCCACCCTTTTCCCGGTTTTAGTCCTCAACAAAAATCCATCAGTCTCAATATACTGTTTAGCCTGGAGATCTCACGTCCGAGGCTCTCAATTCTCTCTCAGTTCCTCTCTGCCGGTCTTTTTGATAGTCCTTAATGTTAAACTCCAAATCTCGAAGAAGCTCCGGCCCAACAGGATCCATGTTTCTACCAGCCAGACCTCCATATTTAAAAGTAAAGCCTAGGGGGTACTTCAAATCTTGTTTTATACTCCTTTCAGGTCCAAATGTCCCCAGAGCTCCAACTTCCACCTCCAATTCAGGCCAGGCTCTCCACATCAGAATTTTATTTTCCTTTTTTGTCATCATGTCAGGCCTCAAAATGCAACTCTCCTTTAACTTCTGCAAAGTTTCAGCTCCTCTTCCTTTTCTTCAGGAGCAACATCTGTCACCTGCTCCATATTGTCAAAGCTCTCCGCTTTCTCTTATTTGTTCAGTTGGATAGGCTCCTTGTTTCAAGTCCTTATCAGATTCAACAATGTTCTTTACTGCTAAGTCCAGAGTTGTAACATTTGTAGCCAAAACATCAGATTGGCCTTGTAACTTTCCCAAGAGAACAAATGCTCTGTCCAATTCAGCCTGGATTTTCCTTCCTCCAGCCATTCCTGTAATGTCACTAAACCCCTCTAGGGGGATTTTAGTTCCTTAATATTCCTTTCAGCTCAAGTCCAAAAGTCAGGTTATTTTGTATCAGCCCTTCCTTATTTTCAACAGATTATTACAAATTAACCAACAGAAGCAACAGAAACAAGGTTCTCTTTTTCCGTCTTGACAGCTAACTTGACAGCTGTCAAACTTTTCAGTCTTTCATCAACAGGCTCTCTCGCGGGACACTCCCGGGTCCGGGGGGGTGAAACTTCAGCTCCCAAAATTAATCTTATTATCCTCCAGCAAAAATTCTTATGATGTCAAAACCGTGAAATTAAAGTCTTTTACTAAAAAGAAAGAAAAGATTCTCTTGACCTTAGCTAGCAGGTCCTTTGCTTTAAATTGTTTACAAGGGGGGGTGGACTTCCTTTTTAACCCTTCCCCGCTCGTTCCGGATCCACCAAATTTTTATTTAAAATTCCAGTTTCCGTATTACTCACGGGTTGGTGTTTTAGAGTCTGAATGTTCCAAGAGAAAGTCAGCGCTCTCCGATAATGGCTTGCGGCTTCACTCTGCAGATGAAGGAGTACTCTCAGCACAGTGCCGCACCCCGTCCCCGTTCCGAAGCCTTTAAAAAGGCTCCTTCATGGATTGGGGGGGGCGCAAATGGTGCCTGCCGAGTCACTACGCTCACAGGCTTCTGCGCCTGTGATTTTAAGGGTCCCCGCGTCGCCGTCGCGGCAAGACCCAGTCTCTGCAGAGCCGATTCCCTCCGGAGCTCGGAGGGAATCCGCCATTAATCGATGGCGCCAACCCGGAAGTCTAGAGTGCCAGGGATTCTCACACCCCCACAGCTCACCCTTGCATGGAGGGCTATGGACTGTTTTGTCTGTGAATATGGTTCCTCCCCTTCTGCCTTTTTGCACAAGGATCAGGGTGTGGATAGGCTTTCTGAGTGTCTAGGGAAGTGGACGTCGCTTAATCTTTTGAAATCACCAATAGTTAGTTTAGAGCTTGTTGATCTATTTTCCAACCCATTTAGAATTCTGTCATTACACAGCAATTTAATTCTCCCCTGGACGCTAGGTAATTGGTAGACAGAGAATCCAATTCACATTCAAATAGAGTTCTGACCTTGCAGATGGAGTTGGTTCAATGATTGAGCCAAAGAAATTTCACCCCTGAAAAGAACAGGCTTTTTGAATATGAATTTCCCATAAATGACAGTAAATGTTAGTCAGCAAAGGCAGTTAATTCTGCAGTAAGACTTCCCATCTAACGCCCTTCAGATCTTCCTTTATCACAAATGTTCATGAGCGTTATTCAAAAACTGGGAACTCATTTCTTTCTTGGGCTCTGATCTGTTCCTCTCTTTGTTGCAGATGGTGATGAATTAGAAATTAAGAATAAGGGACAACAGGACAAAATCCACACAGTGGATAAGCCATATCAAGATTTGGAGTGTGGGGAGAACTTCAGTCAGAGCTCCCATGCCACTTCCCATCAAAGAAATCCTATTGGGAAGAAACCCTTTCAGTGCTTGGAATGTGGAAAGAGCTTCAATCACAGCTCACACCTCAAAGCCCATCAAAGAATTCATTCCGGGGAGAAACCATATCAGTGTTTGGAATGTGGAAAGTTCTTTACTACAAGCAGATACTTCCGTCGACATTGGAGTATTCATAGCGTAGAGAAACCATATCAGTGCGTGGAATGTGGAAAGAGCTTCTCCAGGAAGGAGAATCTCACTTCCCATCAGAGAGTTCATACAGGGGAGAAACCATACCAGTGCTTGGAGTGTGGGAATAGCTTCAGTCGGAAGATTAGTCTTACTTGCCATCTAAGAATTCATACAGGGGAGAAACCATATCAATGTTTGGAGTGCGGAAAGAGCTTCTCCAGGAAGGACCATCTCACTTCCCATCAAAGATATCATACAGGGGAGAAACCATACCAGTGCTTGGAATGTGAGAAGTTCTTTATTACAGGAAAAGATTTACATCGACACAAGAGAATTCACAGTGGGGAGAAACCATATCAGTGCTTGGAGTGTGGGAATAGCTTCAGTGACATCTCACATCTCAAAGCCCATCAAAGAATTCATACGGGGGAGAAGCCCTATCACTGCTTTGAGTGTGGAAAGAGCTTCAGTGGGAAGACTAGTCTTACTTCCCATCAAAGAATTCATACGGGGGAGAAGCCCTATCACTGCTTTGAGTGTGGAAAGAGCTTCTCCAGGAAGGACAATCTCACTTCCCATCAGAGAATTCATACAAAGGAGAAGCCATACCAGTGCGTGGAATGTGGGAAGAGCTTCTCCAGGAAGGATAGTTTCACTTCCCATCAAAGAATTCATACAGGGGAGAAACCATACCAGTGCTTGGAATGTGGGAAGTGCTTCAGTTGGAAAATTAGTCTTACTTCCCATCTAAGAATTCATACAGGGGAGAAGCCATATCAGTGCTTGGAATGTGAGAAGTGTTTTGCTTCAACAAAAAACTTATGGCGACATAGGAGAATTCACACTGGAGAGAAACCATTTCAATGCCAAGAGTGTGGAAAGAGATTCACCTTCAAGCAAACTCTCACTTCCCATCAAAGAATTCACACAGGGAGAAACCATATCAGTGCTTGGAATGTGGAAGAGCTGGAAGGAAATCTCACTTCCCATGAAATAACTCACAGCGGGGGAAATCCTGGAATTATAGAATAGTAGCTTTGGGAGGAATCTTGAGGGTCATCTAGTCTAACGAACTGCAATGCATCTTCTTGATGTTTAGTCAGAATCTCCTTTCTTCTTCTGTTCTTGTGGGGTCACATGGTTCTTCACTTCCTTTTTGATCATGAGAATAAGTGTGAGGTAGGTTAGGCTCCCCAAGGCTGTCCAGTGAGCTACATGGCCAAGGAGGGATTTGAACCCAGGTCTCCCAGGGTGTTGTCAAATACTCTGGCACTATACTACACTGGCTCTCCTATGAGACTCTTAGAAATTGTTCATGCATTTGTGTCTGCCTAAAATTTGGGTGCCATATGCTGGTGTTTGTATTTAAAGCTGTGTACTCCTCTAACAAAGTAATTTATGTAATAATAGTAAGTCAAGTTCAATATTATAATAGATTTAAGGTAATGTTATCTGGGGGAGGGGCTGTTGATTGGCTGAGAGTTTGGAAGGGTATTTAAGTAAGCACAACATAACCATCAGGCCTCTGGCTAATTAAACTTTATCATTTTAAGTGTCTTTGTGGGAGACGGAAATATTGGTGTGTTTCATTTTTGTTTTTATTATGTAATTGGTGTTTTTATTTTGAATGTTAATGCTGCGTAATGCCCTGATATCTTCAAAGGAAGGCAGTATATGAATTTTAATAAATGAAAAATAAGGTCATAAATCATAAAGGAAAATATAAAAATACTCTGGGGTGGCAGCTGGAATGAAGGGGCTGTTTGGTGAAAGACCCAGTCAGGACCCAGCTCACAGCTCTGCCCCTTGAGTACTCTGGGAAGGGCCACCATAGCTCAGGAGCAGGACACCTGCTTGGCATGCAGAAGGGCCAGGCTCAATCTCCCTTGTGAGCATCTCAGGCTGGGAACATTCCCCGTCTTGAACCCTGGAGGGTCACGGCTGGAAACCTGGAGCAGCTGGAGGGACCCCCAGGGTCTGTCCTGGCAGGAGACACCAGGTTCTTCCTGTCCCCCTTCCGAGGGAGCTGGGGCCCTTTGCCCTGCTGGGGGTGGGCATGCAGAGGGGGCCCCTGTCGCCTGGGGACTATGACCCCATTAAACCCTGTGGAGGCCCCCTGGCCGTTGAAATCTCTGGGTCCCCTTGCAAATGACCTCTGAATCACTTTCTGATTTTACCAACCAGCAATTCCAACAAACCCAATTAATATTCTGTTGATCCGTTGTCGCGGGGCCCCTAAGGGCCAGAGTCTGGTGCCAGCTCTGCCTGTTTGGCCCTCCTGCTCTGCTGGGGCGACTCCTCAGAGGAGAGGGCAGGGCTGCGAGAGGAGTTGGAGCCCCTGGTGTCTCCCAGCCCCACCCCCTTCGCCCCCATCTCCTGGGTCTCCTGGTTCTTCTCCTCCATTTCCTGGGTGGGGGAGGCTGACGGGATGACCCTGGGAGTCCCCCTTCCAGCTGCCCCTCCTGCTGCTGTTTCCAAGGGAGGGAGCAGCTCAGCTCGCCAGCCAAGAGGGGCCCCCAAATCCCCCTGCTTTGGAGAGGGAGAGAAGGGGTGCACGGCAGGACAAGGGTTAAGAGGAGCGGAGCTGCCTTCCTAGAGCGGACAGGAAAAGAAGGGGAAGCAGGCTGGTCCTCCCGAGCCCCTCCCTCCGCAGCGCCTGCCTTGCTGGAGAGGAAGGGATCTGCCCGCTCTCCTCTGGGATCTGGTGAGCCTCCTCTCCCTTCCCCAGAGGGTGAATTGGGGAGAAGGGGAGGGTGCATTGGGGGTCTTCCCTATCCATGCAGCGTGGGACCCCCAAGTGAGGGAGCAGAGGGTCCTGGCCCCTTCTTTTCTGAAAACCAGAGCGGGAAGTGAGTTCGCAGCAGGTATGAAAAGATGTTCCTTATTGTGCCAACTCCTTGGGGCACCCACAAAATTCTGCATGAAGGAGCCGGACAAGGTGAGGTACAGGTGGGTAAAGGACCCCTGGACGGTTAAGTCCAGTCAAATTCAACTTTGAGGTGTGGCTCTCAGCGCTGATTTCAGCCTGAGGGAGCCGGCGTTGGTCCAGGCAGGATTCAGGGTCAGGTGGCCAGCAGGACTAGACCGCTTCTGGCGCCACAGGACACCGTGATGAGCGCCAGAGCGCATGGAAATGCCATTTCCCTTCCTGCTGCAGTGGTATCTATTTATCTACTTGCTTTCAACCCTGCTAGGTTGGCAGGAGCTGGGACAGAGCAATGGGAGCTCAGCCTGTCACGCAGATTCGAACCTCCGACCTTACAGTCGGCAAGCTCAAGAGGCTCTGTGGTTTAGACTACAGCGCCACCCCATCCACGACAGCCCAACACAACCCCAAATCAGAGGGCACTCAGCAAATGAGACTTTCATAGAATCACAGAATTGTAGAGTGGGAAGGGACCCTGGCAGTCATCTAGTCCACCTCCCTGCATTGCAAGAATCGTCACTAAAGCATCCATGACGCTTTAAAACTCTCCATGGAAGGAGAGTCCACCAGCCTTCGCAGGGAGGCTCTTCCATTGTTGAACACCCCTTACCCTCAGATACTTAGACAGAAGCTCCTTGAAGCCACGAGCCAATTCCCCTCCTCTCAGGTTCCTCTTTTCCCATCTCAACCATTCCTCATATGGCTTGGCTTCCAGACCCTTGATCATCTTGGCTACCCTCCTCTGCACATGTTCCAGCTTGTCAACATCCTTCCGAAATTGTTGTCCATGTATGTCTAAAGTATTCCGTGTGTGGTCTGACCAAGCAGTATAGAATGCTGCTATTATTTCCCTTTCTGCTGACACTACACTGGCTTCCCACTTACCTTTGTCTCTTGCAGGTGATATAAGGTTGCTGGCAAGACCTCCTCATCCATCTTTTCTTGGTGGTGGAGCAGTGACTGTGGAAGCAGCTCAGGTAGGGGAAAGCAGCCTTGTGGGGAAAGAGGCGGAGGGGTGGGGCAGTCAGGGTTCCTCTGGAGTCCCAGGAATTTCTCGCCTCTTCCTCTTGGCTTCTGTCAAAACTGCCCCTTGACGTTGTTTTAGGGCATTGGGTGAGTCCTCCACCTACACAGAACAATGCACAGAACAAAACACAAAATAAAATAATTCCAATAAGACGTTAAAAGAAGCATCCATTAAAACAGCATAGCAGGAACAGGAAGGAAAGAGCAAAATAATTTGTGGTAATATAATCATTATACTGGCTAAGAGGAGGACCTTTTTCTCTCTCTTTTAAAGAGTTCACTGTCCTTTGAAGACGTCGCTGTTCCTTTCCCAGGTGAAGAGTGGGTGTTGCTGGGTCCTGACCAGAGAGCTCTGCATCAAGGAGGATTGTGGGATCATGGCTGCTCTTGGTAAGGCTCCCTGTTGGATCTTAATATCTTTTTTGAAATTCCGTAGTAATCTATCCATGTGAGGAACATCCCAGATTTTGATGGTGCTGAATAGCGCCACCTACAGCACCTGGGATTCTCACACCCCACAGCTCACCTTGAATGGAGGGCTATTCAGCTGTATAGCAAGACAATACCCAGCTATTCCTCATTCTGCTAGGTGGTGTTTGCCCAGACAAAATCCATTCCAGAAAAGAGCTAGGCTTTTGGAATCTCAGGTACCCATATCCCTGAATGCCAGTAAACAAAGCCAGTGAACCCTGGAGTAAGATCTCATCTATCTCCTTTCTGTTCTTCCTCTCTCACAAGCATTAATGAGCATTGTTCAATAATTGGGGGCTCAATTTCTTGCTGAGGCTCTAACCCATTTCTCTTTTCCCTGCAGGTGGTGATGAATTGGAAATGAAGAATAAGGGAGACCATGACGAAATCCACACAGAGGAGAAACCATATAAAAATTTGGAGTGTGCAAAGAGCTTCAGTCAAAGCTCCCAATCAACTTCCCATCAGAAGAATCCCATTGGGAAGAAACCCTACCAGTGCTTGGAATGTGGAAAAAGCTTTGGTTGGAGGGCTCACCTCACTGTCCATGAGAGAATTCATACAGGGGAGAAACCATACAAGTGTGTGCAATGCGGAAAGAGCTTCAATCAGCAGGCCAATCTCACTACCCATCAGAGAATTCATACAGGGGAGAAACCCTATCAGTGCTTGGAATGTGGAAAGAGCTTCAAGGAAAGGGCCAAGCTCACTTCCCATCAAATAATTCACACAGGGGAGAATCCTTATCATTGCTTGGAATGTGGAAAGAGCTTCAACTGGAAATATAATCTCATTTCCCATCAAAGAACCCATACAGGGGAGAAACCGTTTCAGTGCTTGGAGTGTGGAATGAGATTCAGTCACAAGGGAAGTCTCACTTCCCATGAAAGAACTCATAGCTGGGAGAGTCCACATAAATGCTTGGAATGTGGAAGGCGTTTTAGTCAGGACTCCCATCTCATTTCCCATCAAATAATTCATACAATGGAGAGACCGTATAAATGCTTGGAATGTGGAGAGTGTTTTAGTCAGGAGTCCTTTCTCACTTCCCATCAAAGAACTCACAGCGGGGAGAATCAGATTCCCCAGGAATCATTGGATTGTTGCATTGGATTGGATGGTGAGAGTCATCTTCTCCAACCCCCTGCAATGAAGGATATTCAACAAAAGAGTTCATGACAGATGGCCATCAAACCTTTGCTTAAAAACCTTCCAATTCAGGAGTGTCCCACACCACCTGAACTACTTTCTTTCACAGTTGAACAGTTCCTGCTGCTAGAAAGTTCTTCCTGATGTTTAGTCAGAATCTCCTTCCTTCTACCTTAAATCCATTGGTTTGGGTCCTCCTTCCACCAGAGTAGGAGAAACCAAGTTTGCTCCATCTTCCACGGCACGGCCCTTTGCATACTGAAAGATGTGAAGGAGTGCCTGGTCCCCCAGTGAGCATCATGGCTAAGTAGGGACTTGAACCCAGGTCTGCCAAGTCGTATTCTGACACTCTAACCACTATACCACACTAGCTCTGCCAGGAGACTCTTGGAAAGTGTGCATGCATGTGCGTCTCTTTAAGTTTAGGCACAGTGTTCTGGTGCTTGTATTTAAAGTTGTGTACACATGGGATCAAAATAATAATGGTGCATTTAAATTACTGTTAGCTAAGGAGGCAGAAAAGGTGAGTTTCGGGGTGCTGTAGCTGAACTGGGAATCATGCTTGTGTAACAGCAACATCAAAACCAGAGCTTTGCTTAATTAAACCTATGTCATTTCTAATTAAATCTATGTCCTTTCAAATGTGTTTGTGGGAAGGGGTTATTCTTTCTTTTATTACATATTTTGTGTTTTTATTTTGCATCCTTATGTTGTGAAACACACTGAGATCTTTGGATGAAAGACGTCATACAAATGTAATAGATTAAATAAATAAATAAATAGCAAAATGGTCATAAGCAATAAATAAAACATTAAAATACACAATTCACACACTATTCTTCACACTGAAGAATAGCCACATGAATCATGAGAAGATCTAAAATAAAGATAGAAAAACCCGTAGCAACAACAAGCCTGCTAAGCCCAAGAGTTTGTTCAGCGGCCCCAGCTTTTGTAGCTGGAGTCAGTCTGGACTCTCCCAGGCCACATGGGAAAAGGCCTGCAAGGCAGGAGAAGGTCTTAGAGGACTCACAGCCAGGATGAGGGGGCCGGGCCTCAGGCTGGTGGAGAAAGCCTGCATGGAAACAGTTGGAGGTTGAAATCAGTACTATAGGAATACGCTTGTAATATCCATTTTTACAATAGTAAGAAAAGAAAGAAAAGAAAAAAACTGGAAGATTTTAAACCATACACTTATTAGTGTATTTTTGGTCTTTGTTGGAAGCCGCCCAGAGTGGCTGGGGAAACCCAGCTAGATGTGCGGGGTACAAATAATAAATTATTATTATTATTACTATTACTATTATTATTATATTTCAAAAAGTAAAAACCAGGATACCCCGAAAGCTGTTGAGCATTTTTTAGGAAGACCTCAACATTGTTGTGCTTTTTTCAGGACCACCCCCCATTTTATGACAATGCCAAGATCCAGGAAAATCTGGACTTATGGCAGCCCTAACAGTTGGAGGTTGAAATCAGTACTATAGGAATATCCTTGTAATATCCATTTTTACAATAGTAATAAAATAAGAAAAGAAAGAAAAGAAAAGAAAAAACTGGAAGATTTGAAACCACACACTTACGTTAGGGTTGCCATATTTCAAAAAGTAAAAACCAGGATACCCCGAAAGCTGTTGAGCATTTTTTAGGAAGACCCTAACATTGTTGTGCTTTTTTTAGGACCACCCCCCCATTTTATGACAATGCCAAGATCGAGGAAAAATCTGGACTTATGGCAGTCCTAACTTATCTACCCCAAATTATCTTGAAATTAGTGTTTGTTTTTAATAAATCAGTTGTACTCCACCTCACACCTCATTCTTCGCAACGTTGGGGGTGAAGTGCTCAGGTCAGAGTTCTGGGGTGGCAGTGGGACTAAGGGGGTGTTGCTGAAAGGCCCATCTGTGCCCCCTGAATGCAGAGGGAAGAGGGAGCAGGAGGGGGTGGGCGCAACATGGGGGTGGAAACAACCTCCGCGTGGTATATTCTGAAACGTTTTTCAGAGTGTTTCATAAAAACAAACATTTATAACATTCCTATAAGGTAGACCAGTAGCATATGCACACCTTTTCTTAAACTTCAGTTGCTAAAATGAGCTGCTACACTTCAGGTAAACAGATGCTCCTGTTCTAGACAAGGTGGGAAAATGCTCAAATCGGTTCCTGTTACTTCTTTCTCGTTCTTTTCCTTAGTTATGGCAGGTGTGGCAGTTCAATCCTTTTAACCAGCCCAGGTTCCGTCACTGCCTAATACTTTCCCTCAGTCTCCCTCTCTCTCAGCAATGCCCCTCCTGAGGCGTTTTATTTTGTGCGCCAGACCCAGGGGATCCCTCGGCCCTCTTCTTTCTCTCCGACCCCCGGAGCCTGTCTCCCCCCCCCCCGACTCAGCCCCTCTTCCTCTCTCCTTCTCCTCCTCAGGCCAGAGCCACTTCTCCCCCGACTCAGCCCCTTCCTCTCTCCTTCTTCTCCTCAGGCCAGAGCCACTTCTCCCCCGACTCAGCCCCTCTTCCTCTCTCCTTCTTCTCCTCAGGCCAGAGCACTTCTCCCTCAGACTCAGCCCCTCTTCCTCTCTCCTTCTTCTCCTCAGGCCAGAGCCACTTCTCCCTCAGACTCAGCCCTCTTCCCCTCTCCTTCTTCTCCTCAGGCCAGAGCCACTTCTCCCTCAGACTCAGCCCCTCTTCCCCCTCTCCTTCTTCTCCTCAGGCCAGAGCCACTTCTCCCCCGACTCAGCCCTCTTCCTCTCTCCTTCTTCTCTCAGGCCAGAGCCACTTCTCCCTCAGACTCAGCCCCTCTTCCTCTCTCCTTCTTCTCCTCAGGCCAGAGCCACTTCTCCCTCAGACTCAGCCCCTCTTCCCTCTCCTTCTTCTCCTCAGGCCAGAGCCACTTCTCCCTCAGACTCAGCCCCTCTTCCTCTCTCCTTCTTCTCCTCAGGCCAGAGCCACTTCTCCCTCAGACTCAGCCCCTCTTCCCCTCTCCTTCTTCTCCTCAGGCCAGAGCCACTTCTCCCTCAGACTCAGCCCCTCTTCCTCTCTCCTTCTTCTCCTCAGGCCAGAGCCACTTCTCCCTCAGACTCAGCCCCTCTTCCCTCTCCTTCTTCTTCTCCTCAGGCCAGAGCCACTTCTCCTCAGACTCCAGCCCTCTTCCCCTCTCCTTCTTCTCCTCAGGCCAGAGCCACTTCTCCCCCAGACTCAGCCCCTCTTCCCTCTCCTTCTTCTCCTCAGGCCAGAGCCACTTCTCCCTCCAGCTCAGCCCCTCTTCCTCTCTCCTTCTTCTCCTCAGGCCAGCAGCCACTTCTCCCTCAGACTCAAGCCCCTCTTCCTCTCTCCTTCTTCTCCTCAGGCCAGAGCCACTTCTCCCTCAGACTCAGCCCCTCTTCCCCTCTCCTTCTTCTCCTCAGGCCAGAGCCACTTCTCCCCAGACTCAGCCCCTCTTCCCCTCTCCTTCTTCTCCTCAGGCCAGGAGCCACTTCTCCCTCAGACTCAGCCCCTCTTCCTCTCTCCTTCTTCTCCTCAGGCCAGAGCCACTTCTCCCTCAGACTCAGCCCCTCTTCCCCTCTCCTTCTTCTCCTCAGGCCAGAGCCACTTCTCCCTCAGACTCAGCCCCTCTTTCCCCTCTCCTTCTTCTCCTCAGGCCCAGAGCCACTTCTCCCTCAGACTCAGCCCCTCTTCCCCTCTCCTTCTTCTCCTCAGGCCAGAGCCAATTCTCCCTCAGACTCAGCCCTCTTCCTCTCTCCTTCTTCTCCTCAGGCCAGAGCCACTTCTCCCCAGACTCAGCCCTACTTCCCTCTCCTTCTTCTCCTCAGGCCAGAGCCACTTCTCCCTCAGACTCAGCCCCTCTTCCCCTCTCCTTCTTCTCCTCAGGCCAGAGCCACTTCTCCCTCAGACTCAGCCCCTCTTCCCCTCTCCTTCTTCTCCTCAGGCCAGAGCCACTTCCTCCCTCAGACTCAGCCCCTCTTCCTCTCTCCTTCTTCTCCTCAGGCCAGAGGCCACTTCTCCCTCAGACTCAGCCCCTCTTCCCCTCTCCTTCTTCTCCTCAGGCCAGAGCCACTTCTCCTCAGACTCAGCCCCTCTTCCCCTCTCTTCTTCTCCTCGGCCAGAGCCACTTCTCCCCGCCAAGACTCCAGCCCCTCGTTCGCTCTGGCCTGAGGAGAAGAAGGAGAGGGGAAGAGGGCTGAGTCTGGGGGAGAAGTGGCTCTGGCCTGAGGAGAAGAAGGAGAGAGGAGAGGGGCTGAGTCTGAGGGAGAAGTGGCTCTGGCCTGAGGAGAAGAAGGAGAGGGGAAGAGGGGCTGAGTCGGGGGAGAAGTGGCTCTGGCCTGAGGAGAGAGGAGAGGGGAAAGGGGCTGAGTCTGAGGGAGAAGTGGCTCTGGCCTGAGGGAAGAAGGAGAGGGAAGGGGGCTGATCTGAGGGAGAAGTGGCTCTGGCCTGAGGAGAAGAAGGAAGAGAGGAAGAGGGCTGAGTCTGAGGGAGAAGTGGCCTGGCCTGGGAGAGAAGAGGGAGAAGGGGAGAGGGTAGGTCTGGAGAGGGAGATAGTGGCTCTCTGGCTTCTGAGGTAGAAGAAGGAGA